ACTGAAACTGAATGTTCCAATATTATCGTGGTATAATGGCTCCATGTATCAGAAATTCTGTCTGTAAAAATACCTTCCCATTCTAGTCTCCCCAGGGTAGTCTACTGGGGTCGTCGCAAATCATATAAAGACTTCATATCACGTGACAACCTGAATAGCGGTTAGAGGTTGAAATGAACTATTACAACTACAAACTTGAAAGTCCTTTTTAATTCTTTTTTATTCCTGTTTACATTTAAGTAATTTTGGTTCATGCATGCACATATAAATCAACAACAATTGGCTAAGTATGGCTCATTAAACTGGCTGGTGTTTTATAAATACATTTTATAACATTTTATAAATATTTTACGATGTATATGGGCTTAATTATTTTATTTTAATTATTTTTAATATTGCTACGACTGTCACTATTTCTTTCTTTTTCAAATTTTAATTTTTGCGGGCCATTAGGTTATCAGTTTTAATACTGTCAAATGTTACCCTCGTAAAATAAAGTCTTACTTACTCCTCGTTTACTTACTTACTTTGATCATGTAATCAATTAAGGAAATCTAGCAGACAAACTTCTGTGCGACTATTTTAAATATATTCTCAAAATAAATCATTTCTATCAGCACCAAATGTCGAAAACAAGTTTTGAAACTCATATAAAACATTTGAAAATACAGTTGAAATGAAACTTTTGGAGAACTTGGAGCGAGAGCGGCAAAAAATCGTACCACCCCCTGCTTCATCGATTTTTTTGCTCTCTCTCCAATTTACGCGCGGCCGGAATGCGGAAAAGCTCTTCGTACGAGGAACGCTTGCTACGCCAGTTCTCTCGTGGATTATCTTACCAAGCGTGTTGCGTGGATGTTTTCTGGTGGATCCGAATGCACGCGATCAAACTCCGGGTCACAGTATTGGCTGTTTTTGGACCCTCCCGAGATTTCTGAAACCAGGAGTGAGCTAAAAATAACTTAATGAGGAATTAGGCCTATGGCGGGGATTACTTCACTAACTCTTGATCCTCTCTTGAGCCAAGCAAATATTAATTAGCGACTAGCGACTTTTCCAACCCTTCTCCGCTAAGACTGGGGACAAAAATATCACGTGACATAGAGATGCCATTGTGACCGAGTGAGCTTGGGGTCAAGAGATAAAAACAAAGATGGCGGAAGACATGTGGGCATGTGGAAAAAACTTTGAGTGTCATGCTCTCGTAAATGGGCTATTGCCCGGGGCTATTGCACAGGGAAATACAAACATCTCATTGAGAAATAACCGAACTGTTGAAGGCTGATGCATAGAAAGACATTCAGCAAGTAAGACTGGATAAGTGAGACTGGATAAGTGAGACTGGATAAGTGAGAAATAACTTGGCTGAACGAATTGAAACAGGCCAAGGAGAGCAGAACAGGGGAGATTCAAAATGTCACCAGATAAAGACAAGATAAACAGTAGCTGAATGGCAGAACAGGAAGACAACTGAATATTTGGCACCATATAGCAGGTATGTTTATTAATAGTTGTTGTGAATAATTAGCACTGAATAATCATGATATCCATTGTGAAGGTAACGTGTAAAAAACATTTTAAAACTACAGTCAGTTTCTTCGAAACACATTTTAAGATAACAAAAAAACATTGGTTCAAACTCAATGAGGTCATTTTCAAGTTAAAAAGTGATTAAAATATTCTTGCATACCCTAAACTACTGCTTATAAGCCCCTCCGCTTGTAAGCCGTCTCCTCCAATTATAGGTTCATCTACTGGTAAACAAAAAAATACATCCAGTTATAAGCCCCAGTTATAAGCGCCGCTCATCAAATACATGTCTTTCCGTCATCTTCAATAAAACCAGCTGTCAAACCAACTAGTTTTTCACCAACAACGGCAACCATAACAGCGCAATTCTCCATCATCATCCATCTATGAAATTCAAGTGGTAGATAGTCATGTCCTTTGTAAATACCCCTTGACAAATTCACGACTTCGTCCAAATCGCTCAGCCAAGCAAGACGAAACCTCACCTCTTCCACGCTGTAGTTTTTTGCGTGACTGACGAGCTGCAACAATTCAGACAGCAATTTATAGCCACTAGTATGTCGACCTGTGGCAATTTCATGTATTTATCATTGGTTGTGTGACCTCATCCTTAGGGTGTTATGCCATTGTGACACATTGTCACAATGCTTCATTAGCAGAGCGTTGATATATATAAAATATATCTCGTTGTCCTCATTTGTATTCATTCGAGTCAAACGGCGGCTTTTTCGCCTTCTAAATTAAATACCCAATACAATACAATACAATGCAATGCAATACATGACAAGACAAGACAAGACAAGACAATACAATACAATACAATACAATACAATACAATACATTTACAATACAATACAATACATGTANATTATGCCTGTAATTAATTTTCCTTTGAAGTGAGTAAATATTATCTAGCTTAATGTATCTTTCATTTGCTTTCCTCCTTCAGGAGAAAAGAGCTCATGACAAGTGGTAATGTCCTTTGTGACCTGATGCCAAGATACACAAAATTGCATTCAGTTAAGTATTTGTCCAACTTCATCCTGTATTTCACAAAAAGCTACATAACTGCAACTTTTACATGTACATTTTTGTGAAGTTATCGAACCCAGAATGGATATGGTCTGGTCCTGTGACTATTTGTATACTGACTGAGAAAAAATATCATGATTCCTTTTTATGTGACAGAGACTAATTTTAATTATATATTTCTGTAAAATTGTAAATATGCGAGTCATAATAATCAAGTTTGTTGTAAAAGTTTGATTGATTGTTTACTAGTTAAAGTCAATCAATAAATTAGGGGTTATTGAAAATTTGATTTATCCATCAATAAAAGACAATTCTTTAAAAAAGTTAATAAGGGATGTACCAAATTAATATGGATATGGTCAGTTTCACAAAAACCTTTTCCAGAGTTTCTTGATCTATATATAGTGCCACATAAAATTGATCTGCGCAGGAGATGGGTGGAAGAACTGACCCACTAAGGAACTGGTTCCACTGAAAAATGTTTTCCCGAGTTTCTTGATCTGTGAAGCATAAACTGGTCCCACATTCCAAAATGCCAGCACAGTTTAAAAAAGAAACACTTAACATTTAGGAACAATTGGACTGTCTGCATACCCTGAATGGATCTCGAGCTTTGTACAGGAGATGGGTGTAAGAACTGGCCCACAAGGGAGCTGGTTCCACCAAAAATCTCTTCCTGAGTTTCTTGATCTGTGAAGCAAAAACTGGTCCCACATTCCAAATTGCTGGCACAAGATTAAAAAGCAAAACTTGTTTAGGAACAATTGGACTGCCTGCATGTGATGAACGGATCTTGAGCTTTGTACAGGAGATTGGTGTAAGAACTGGCCCACAGGGAGCTGGGTCCACCAAAAATCTCTTCCTGAGTTTCTTGATCTTTGAAGCATAGACTGGTCCCTCATCCAAATTGCCAGCACAAGAAAAGAGACTTGTTTAGGAACAATTGGAATTTCTGCATGGGCTGAAAGGATCTTAAGCTTTGTACAGGAGATGTGTGTAAGAACTGGCCCATAAGGGAGCTGGCTCCACCAAAAATCTCTTCCTGAGCTTCTTGATCTGTGAAGCATTGACTGGTCCCACATTCCAAATTGCAGATACAAGATGTTAAAAAAGAACTGTGTAGGAACATATGGACTATCTACAAGTACTAATTAAATAGATCTTGAACTTTACAAAAGAGATTGGTGTAAGAAGTGACTTGTATAGGAGTTGATTCCATCCGAAATAATTTAATTATCTCCAGTGCATTTGTTTCTCTGTCTGTAAGAGAGACTGATCCTACATAAACAGTTAAAAAATGTCTTATAGAAAAATGCCTTGTTATGAATTTCAATTTTTTGCACGACTGAAACTGATCTTTAAGCAGCTTTAGTTGTAGTTTTTTTTTCTGTCCTCAAATTTAGAACCGAAATTAAGTTTGTAAATTTATGTGGCTACTCGGCTCATTTATTAGTTGCTATTCTGAGTAGATTTTGCCTTATTAAATTAATTTTATTCACTGTTTTATTTATTCTTTAAATGGCTTGTTTTTTGTTGTTAGGGCTGACCTGCAAATTGGAGAAAATAATTAATGATATAAACATGAAAAAATTTGGGTGGAGGAAGTGCTAGAAGATCTTTCTTGAGGCCATTTTTTCTCATTTGAGAAAACTTTTCAAATTTTCCGCACAAAATTCTCGTCATCATTTTAGAAAATTTGCTATTGTATTTCAGCCAATCATAATCTAGAATAATGATGTGTAATTTGCACTGGTGTTATACTTTCTGCACTGGTGTTACACTTGAACTGCACTGCCCTCAGCCAATTAGAATCGAGTAATTTTTTCATGTATTTTGTTAATTAATTAATACTCTTCAAATAAAATGTTTTAACCTCCACAGGATTTTAAGACCAAAGGTATTCAACCTAATGACCCATGATGTTGAACATGACGAGCTTTCATCGGTTTCGCCAGAATACAGGCAAGCTCCCTTGGCAACTTTAGCATGTCTTGAATTAATACATGTAGGTCCGTTAGGCATACATATGGAACTAGCCTTTATTATGATATCCTTTATCCATTTTTGGTTTGGTTATAATTCTAGAGACCTAAACTTGTGTAAATTTATGGTTGTCGTCGATTGAAATTGAATTCCAGTTTTGGAATTTCCAAAGTATCTCATATGATCGGTGGCCTTTCGATCTGTGAACAATGTTCTGTCTAATAGACGTTAAATTCATAAACCCTTCCAAGTTTGTAAATCTTGGAACAGACAAATAATTCTGCATGTAATTGTCAACTGAATTAAAGAGAAATGTTATTAGTAATGAAAGGTAACGTGGCATTAATTGTTAATTTGCACCCAAGAACTATTTATTTAAGGGACACAGTCAGCTTTGGGACTGCGCTGACCTGGACACTAGTTTTCTGGCTTTGAAAAAAGTACACCTCAACCTGAAATCAAAGTACATCTAGAAATCCGCTTTAATCTTCACAGTGTTGTACTTGATTTTCAATCGTTTACTAAAAAACCTGTTTTTGAGTGTGCTTTTGCTCATCTCATGATTTTATTTTTATAATATTTGGTTAAAAACGGTATGGATTGCGTCTCTGTGATATCCAAATTAGCTATGAAATGGTATCTAATGCGCATGTGCGCCAGCTGATTGTGTCGCTTTAAAACCCGTTTTATTTTAATCAGTTAAATTACTGTAGTACAACACATGCAACACAAACAATTATGGTAGATGTGTTTACGTTAGACAGTTTTCATCTTATTTCTGTTTATTCTTGGTCCATTGTTATCAAACAGCAACCAGTATACAATTTGAGAGAAAAGTTGAATAACGGTGAAACATTTTTATTTTTTGCTTTTGTTTATAGGTATCGATGGTGGGCAGTTCCAAATGTTCAAGAAGATGACTTGAATCTTATGCATCATTTACGCTGGTGGAAAAATTCCTCTCACATTTTCCATTAATGCGAGGGGCAAATTCAAGTAAGTTATGTTGCGAACATTTACTGTGGATTTGATTATTTGAGATCTGCTTAATGTTACCTCATTGATATCAACTCATTTAACTAACTCAAGTTTACTCAATTCAAAATCTTTGACAAAATCCTTTAGCCAGTCTAATTGTGTAATGGAGCAAAAATAGTCACCTGCTTGTTGTTTTATTATGAGATTAATTCATTTCAGTGGGAAAAAGACAAATCTCAACAATAGTTAAGAGGGATTGACATTATCAATGCAGATTTCGAGATTGGTTGTCAAATCAGGGGTAGCAAGAGATCTGCTCTTTGAAAGATGTGTTATTCAGCCGAGATTTTGCTGGCTGGGAAACCCAGAAGGCCTCATCCTCGTTAAACTAACCCTATTCCAGAAAATGGGGAGGTGCGGTGGCCTCATGGTTAGTGTGACTCCAGATCGAGCAGTCTAGGTTCGAGCCCTTGGCCAGGGACATTGTATTGTGTTCTTGGGCAAGACACTTTACTCTCAAAGTGCCCCTTTCTACCCAGGTATGGGTGCCAGCAAATTTAATGCAGGGGGTAACCCTGCAATGGACTAGCATCCCATTCGGGAAGAGGAAATACTCCTAGAAATATAGAAATACTCCTAGTTGCTTCATGCTACAGAAACCAGGATAAGCTTCGGCCTGATGAGCCACTTGGCCCGTATGCTGACTTTATTTTTACCTTACTTCGCAACACCTCTCCCCCCACCCCATGCTACTGAGGGTGTGCACACTGTAGATATAGCCCTGGAACCACACCCCAAGAGTATTCAGGGTGTGGAAATTCTTTAGTGATGTGCCTGTTGGCTGGGAAAGTTTAATAGGAAAATTTGCTGAGAAGTAGAAGTGGAGACATCTCTGTTCAGAGAAGCTAAGCCAGCCTCAAGTTAACCCGAGTGAAAGCTAACCGATTCTTGACCCAAAATCCTGACTCAAAATCCAACCCGAAATCCAGGCTCGAAAAGGATGCATTTCTCGATTTCACCGCGACATCTACGTTCAGAACTAAATAGGTTTATTGTTTGATGCTTTTCGTTGTTAAGTCAATAGTCCTAGACTTTATTGAAACATGATTTTTACTGCAAAAACGTCAAGAGGTGAAAACAAGATAATGTAGCTCTGATCGAAACTTCACGCGCATGTGAAAGGAAATATTGCTTTTGATTACTCGCACTGGTCTTTGCTGTTATAAAAGTGTTTGATATTCGTCCTTGCGGTATGCAAAAACTATTTTAACTCGTAGTTGTTAAAGATCATAGACCCTATTCATAAATGGCTGCCAATTTAAAATTCTTTTGTGTGTATTTAAATTAGCCCAACTAACCTCGTTTGAGAGTAAAAATGTTTTTGAATTATCACCTCAAAAACGAGGTTAGTTGGGCTAATTTAAAATTCTTGCAAAATAATTTTTAATTGGTAACCATTTATTAATAGGGTCTATGTACTTTTAGAAGAGTAGTATTTTGGCGAAAAATGTTGTTAGAGACGAAAAGCAGAGATAGATGAGTATAAGAACTAGCCCACAAAGGAGTAGGGTTCACCAAGGATATCCTCTCCGGCCTATGTGTTTCTCTGTCCTTAACAGAGTGATTTTTACATCAAAACAGTTCAAAAGAGAAACTTGCCTGGTTTTGAAGTTAGACTGTCTGCATCAGCATGATACAAATTGATCTTGAGTTAGCGTTAGTACCAACCCGCCAAATGAAAAGGAAACACTTTTTAAATAATGTTCTTACCTTCCACAGGTTTGAAAACCAAAGGTGTTCAACTTAACGACTAAAGTTGTCAATCCGTTTCGCCAGATTACAGGTAAGGCCCCCTTAGAGAACTTAAATGACTAAAAATAGATCCGCTATGTGTACACGGGGCACTACGTTACTATACTTCGCCCGCGTTTAGTTTGGTTGAAATAGCGTTCGGGATCCGAATTGGTCAGTGTTGCTTGAAATTGCAATTTAGTTTGAGAATTTTCAAAATAACATATCAATACTACTGTGTAGACCGGAGTACAAAGTTTCGTTATGTATCCTCAGCGGAAGAATATGTAGCCTGCGTAGCTGGCATTTATCGCCTGCGAGTGACTTTTGGCGGCGGAACAGCCATATTATTGATTGTGTAGAAAGTGTTTTAAAAGCAACCTTAAAAGCTTCTTTGAGATTTGCTATGTATCTTTACTGCGCCCATAATTCAAGTTGCAACGCGCCAGAGAAATTTCACTGCTAAGAATAACGAAACCCCTCAGAGATCGACAGTGGCTGAACGTAACTGTGTGTATAGTATAAAGAATATCGAATACATCGAGCTATAAAAGTCTTGGATCCCTGAAGCAAGTTCGTTTTGCCGGGAGAAGTCATATCAACGTTCTCTCTGATCCGTGGAAAAAGTATCCGGTTTTTCTTTTCCTCCTTTCTTTTTTTTTGTAATGGTTGAACGTAAAATACGATGAATTCTTTCCTCTTTTTCCTTTAATGTGAGTGATTTTCCACTGCATTTTTTTTTTTCAATGGCACACGCAGAAGGCTTCGTCGATTTATTTCTGGTTTTAAAGGAAAAAAAGGTATATCATACGTCAGGGCCGATAGTCGAACTCGCGCCTCTGTTAAATTCCGGAGCGAGACGCGCGCACTAAACCACTGCGCCAACTCGACTTAACATGATTTGATGTTGAAAACCTGACTACATAAGCATACCAGTGGTGCGCACTAATGGTCAGCGTGACATACCTAAACAGCCAACACAAAGTAATACTATTGCGATTAACTGTTTTAGTTTTTGTTTTGTTTTGAGGGAAATTTTATCTCGCGAGAGATACAAATGTGAAAATTTTTATCCCCAGGTTTGAAGTATCTACAACGTGGAACAAGCAAATAATTATAAATTTGTCATATTTACAGCTATCACAACCTTTTGAGATAATAAAATCCTATTTTATCACTAGTGGTCGTAAAGAAGGTTAAAGGGGAGCTGATTATTTGCGCTTTGAAAAAAAAAAAACTTCTTGCGTTCTTGTGCAAAAGAAAGCATGATGTGTCTACCGCAGAGCAGAAGAACGGCACAATTTGCATTTTATTTGCGTTTATTCTTGTCTTTTATTTTAATTTTTACGGAAAGTTAACAGTGATAGTCGGATAGGATTAACCTCTTTTTATTACTCTTTGTTTCTTTTAGGCTTCAACAGCGAGCAGCTTCAAAGTTTGAGAAGATGGCTTTCGAGGACATCATGCACGCTATCGAAAGAATCCTGTAAACGCGATGGGCAAACTCTGGTAAGTCGTATTGTTTACATATTTACTATGCGTAATTTTATCTCGTTCCTATCAAGGCATTCAACAAACCCGAGTTTAAGTACAGAACTAGACAGATTTTAACCGGTTGAAGCCTTTTGTTTGTATATTTGGCCGTAAACTTGGTTAGACGTCAACATTGCTTTTTAAACGTGAACAAAGGTAAAAGCATATTTCGCGACGATCGGTCTTGAATCAGGAACAGCTACATGCAGATGTGGAATAAAATATTCCAAAATTTTGGAGATATTGTGTAAGTCTAAGTTGTTACGAACATGTGCTTTTGGAATAATATTCTAAGTCTTTTCACCAGCGGAAAATATTTACATGTACAAGTTGTATAAGTCTAAGTTGTTATGAGCATGTGCTTTGGAATAATATTCTAAGTCTCCTCACTGGTGGGAAATATTTGCATGTATAAGTCTAAGTTTTACAAGTCTAAGTTGTTAAGAACATGCTCTTTTGGAATAATATTGTAAGTCTCTTCTAAGTTGTTAAGAACATGTGCTTTTGGAATAATATTGTCTCTTCACTGGTGGGAATTATTTGTATTTTTTTAAGTTCACTTTCTCTCCTATTTCAGATTTCTTTGAGATGACCAGTGTGGGGAAAGGCAAAAGAGAAAAAACCACCAATAACTAGCATTTGTTTTATACTTATAGCGAGACTTTTGAGCTCTCGTCCTTGTGGTGCAACCTTAAATGCACGCATGCGCGTTTGGTATCATATTTTACAATAAAATTTTTCTAAGTCTTTTGGCGGGAAACCTTTGTATATGTCAAATTCACTTGTGATCCCTTTCTTTCAGATGCCTTGAAAATGACCAGTTTTAAGAAGTGGCCAAAGAAAAATTGCCAACCTCGGAAGGAAGGCAAAAATTGATGTGGAACACCGCCACCTCCCCGCCACCACCACTAACTAGCATTTCTTTTATACTTATAGCGAGAGTTTGGTGCAACCATCCTTGTGGTACAGTAGCCTCTAATACGCATGCGTATTAGATGAGTTTCCCAGTTACACTGATGTACTGTATGTCCTGACTGTAAGTAACCGATAGCTTCGTGTCGGGTAACCCGAAGTTTAAACCGAAGTTCAAACTTCCGGTTCCCCGACACGGAGGTATCAGTTACTTGTATGTCGTGACTGTAAGTAACTGATAACTTCGTGTCGGGTAAACCGAAGTTCGGTTTAAACTTCGGGTTACTCGACACGAAGTTATCGGTTCCTTGCAGTCACGACATACAAGTAGCTGATACCTCCGTATCGGGGAACCGGAAGTTTGAAGTTCGGTTTAAACTTCGGGTTGACGTTATACGAAGCTATCGGTTACTTAAAATGTACGAGATACAGTACGTTAGGTTGTAACTTGAACACTCACCTCCTACGCATGCGTATTAAAGCTTACTGTACCACAAGGATGGGAGCACCAAACTCTTGCTATAAGTGTAAAAGAAATACTAGTCCTTCCAAGATTGTACGGCATTTGTACGGCATCTGCAAGAGTCTTGCAAGAATGTTTTTCAGTAAATTGACACAAGTTTGTAACATGATAAAATCTATTTATTTTGTAATACTACAACAGACAAATCAATAAAGATTAAATTACAATACAAATCTTTCGCGTACAATACACAAAATAAAGATTAATATACAGTACAACAGTACAACAATGTACTCGTTTATCGCAGTTAAAGCTAAGTCCGAAGCTACCTCCGCTATATTCTGAAGATGTGATCATAATAAAACCTTCATTTACGAACCTTGTGTTATTTTCCTCTAATGGCTTCGATCCTCTTGAATTACCGCGATATTAACAATATGTGGAACTACATAGCGCCATTGTTTCCCTTTGATAACTACAAAGTTCACGAATAATTATTAGACGTTGTTAGAAGATTTAAAAATCCTTGCAACACATAACTGCCATTGAATAAACTTAGAAACTTCCATTCGGCGATTTACTGCAGAAATTATGTACAAAAGATTGAAGGATATTAAGCTGGCCTCGCTGTACGTGAACAACAGCAGAAACATGTAAATTGTAATGATCACAGAATAACATTCCATAAAATTACCATATGTATTGTTATTGGAATAAACAATTTGAATGACTTTGAAGTTCGCGGGGTTTCCAGATCGTAAACATTTACGTTTGTTGAGGTAATGCTTCGTCGTTTCTTGCCGCGTATTAGAAACCAAAATTAGGGAGCTTAAGAAACCACGACGGCGACGCCGACGACAAAGTCGATTGAAAAATGAGTTTACGAATCTCGCGGCACCCTGAAATCATTTACTTTGTTTATCGCTATCAAAGCTATCACGAAACTGAATCTAGGACACATCGATAAATTCGAAATAACAATTTTAAAAATTAGCTGTCGTGGTTTACGTTCTCCAGACAACGCAGAATTCGGTCATTTCACGTTGTTTTGCAGCGGACAGCAAAGAAATGTACCAAGAATTATAACGCACGTGCACAGCCACTTTTCTGCTCATTGAACCTTTTGTTCAGTGAGGTTGCCGTTGCCGTTGCCGTCGTGGTTTTCTTAAACTCCCTATTAATTCATCACACAGAGCCAGTGAAAACCCCCTTTCTGGGCACTTCTCTGTCACGCAACGCTTCGCTCTCGGCAGAGAGGGCCCTTTCTCACGAGGGCGTAGCGTTGCGTGACGGTGAGACATTCGAAATATTATCGGCCGTAATCTTTCCCAGTCCTAACCATCCTGATTCCTAAATGGTGATTATAAACCGACGTGTTCAAGTTGCCTTCTGGTAGACAATTTGACTATCGCGTCATGACTCCTTTGAAATACTCTTTCCAACACAGTCCGATTCCAAAAACTCTTTCTTAGAAGTAAGAGATATCTAACCTGTCACTGGTACATACACTATTCGGTAGAAATATAAAACCTATTGGCTAGTCCCTCTCAGACATCATCCATAGTGTATGATTAATTCATCTTCAGGTTATTAACAGTCCATCCAGGCCTCAGCTACTCTTCGAGACTGAAAAAGCGTCCTACCTGGAATAAAAAGAAACAATTTATCAGCATTCAGTTACAGCAATTATATTGCCTATCACCATTTTACGAATAATTTGTCGTTCCATTACGACCAAAGGACAGAAGACATATACAGGGACTGTGTCACAACAGAGTTTAGTCTATTTTAATAAGTTTTACAAATACTGGCTATGACTCTTAATGTTAGCGAAGAAATTACTTTTATGGATACAACTGACCAAACCATAGACTCATTACAAACAAATTCCTGGGCGTTAAAATTAAAAGTGACAAAACAAAAAGACATAACTGTTCAGCCTAACAGTTTTCAAAAACCTATATCGCAATCCGTTTCAATCTTCTTCAAGTTTTGCCCGTCCGTAGCTTCTTTTGTATTTATTGTAACACAGTTCCGTTTCGGAAATACCTCTAAAACCTATTAATTCACAAAATATCAAGGAGAAACAGCTCAACATAAAGGGAAGCTCACACGAGAACTCGTTCGACGAAGCTCGAGACACCCCGCAAGACACTATCTTTCTATAACGGCTCTATTTTCATTGGGCCAATGTAATCGCTATACTCGCTCGATATTTCTGTTATTTTAGGGCTGGTGGTATACTTATGACCTGATCTATTGTCTTAAGAACCATGAATAAAGTAGCTCGTTCCAAGAGGCAAAGCTGTACCGGAGAATGAATCACAATCACAGATTAAAGTACTGGTCCATGCTTGTTTGTTAAACTTATATTAAAAAACAAACTGAAGTGAAGTTTAGAATCCATGATCGGCCGGATGAACATTCGGCAGTCGCGTAGGTAATGTGGATTTGCCTTTTAATTTTGACCCCC